TGAGGTGAGGGTGAGGAGGAGTCCACAGACACTGGCCACTGAAAGCCTCCGGAAATTAGGTGAGGGTGAAGAGGAGTCCACAGACACTGGCCACTGAACGCCTTCGGAAATGAGGTAAGGGTAAGGTGGAGTCCACAGACACTGGCCACTGAACACCTCCGGAAATGAGGTGAGGGTGAAGAGAAGTCCACAGACACTGGCCACTGAACGCATCAGGAAATGATGTGAGTGTGAGAAGTCCACAGACACTGGCCACTGAACACATCAGGAAATGAGGTGAGGGTGAGGTGGAGTCCACAGACACTGGCCACTGAACGCCTCCGGAAATGAGGTGAGGGTGAGGTGGAGTCCATAGACACTGGCCAATGAATGTATCAGGAAATGAGGTGAGGGTGAGGTGGAGTCCACAGACACTGGCCACTGAACACATCAGGAATTGAGGCGAGGGTGAGGTGGAGTCCACAGACACTGGCCACTGAACACATCAGGAAATGAGGTGAGGGTGAGGTTGAGTCCACAGACACCGGCCAATGAATGTATCAGGAAATGAGGTGAGGGTGAGGTGGAGTCCACAGACACCGGCCAATGAACGTATCAGGAAATGTGGTGAGGGTGTGCCATTTCACCGGCTGCTGCAGCTGGAGAAGAAGCCGGTTGCAGTACGATTTGTGCTTCATCAGCCTGTTCAGATTCCCTAGGTGACATTAGGGGTCTAAAGGGCCCCTGATGTCTCCATAAAGAGGACCTGTCACATATAATTGTTTGGGGGTTTTAACCTTTTCCAGCCAAAAACTATTTTATCATGTGTATGTGAAAAAAATAAGAAATTGCTTTAGACAGCAAGTGGTTAAAGTAGATGTAAACCCAAACCTGAAGAATAACATTTAGCTGTGTGTGTCATGCAGATGCCTTTTTTAAGAATGAAAATATACGTTTTCACCTTTTTTTCTACTTTCGTGCATCTCAGTGCTGATCTCCTGTTGAAACTTTGCAGCCACTTTCTGTCTACAAGCACTCCACTGATGGCTGCATGGCATTTCCTGGAGGGTAAGGGGTTCTGATGATGAAGATGATGGATCACATCTGCATAATGAGTGTTGTAACTACCACTTGCAGTCTCCATCGGAAGCCCCTGTGACCTGGTGACAGGCCAGGAGCATTCCTGGGAGACGGGACAGAGTACTGTCACCCTATAACAGAAAGTACCTGAACACGGACTCCTTATGGCAGGACTACCCGCTATTGTTTGAATAAAGCTGCAGATTTTAAATAGATGAAAATGACTTTTAAATTCTATTAACATGTTCAATTTTTTATGGGATTGTAGTAATTGGGTTTACATCTACTTCAATATCCCCATAATAATAAAACCCCAAGCTTGCAGGATTCGGCTCTGCATCCATTAGTTAGCTACAAAGTCGAATATTAAACTCAGAATATTCCGCTAATATTGTTTACTTTACTTTTAGCCAAAATGGCTTTTATCAGATGTGCTAAAACCCTTTCTTTTTATAACTGATGAGAATCAGATCTTACTTCACTTTAATGGAAAACCGCTAGAGAAATGTCATTATCGGAGGTCCAGAGTAAACCTACATTAGCCTACACGCACTTTACTGGAGTATCTTAGATGCTGAGAGGCTGATTATGTTAAACTTGGCTGGTTTCATCCCATTTTTTATCACAGAGCATGACCTGCCAAATAACTGATCACAAAAACCAAAATGGGGCCAGACCTGATTTGATTAGGTACAAAGAAAAATAAGGTCACGCTACCAAATGCTGATATTTCTAGTCGGGCAGATGCTGGCAGGTTCTGGCATCCCAAGGTCCACATATAACTCTTTGTTTCATTTCCAAACATCTATGAAGATACTGTATGTGATCTGCACAATGGACTCCACATATTGCAGGTTTCTATAGACTGCACAAACTGCTGTATCTTCTCCTACCACCAGATGGCGACATAAAACCTTCCCAAACCGATTATATAGAAATCCCTTTTTAACAAAAACAATTCACTTTTCATTTTTCCAGCTTTTACTAAGTTATAAAAGACGGACATGGAACTGTACAGGTCAAATCCAAGTGTACAAATGTGCAAAAGCCTGGGCTGACCATAAAACTAACATGCAAGTAAAAGGTAAAGCAGAACACCAGGTTTCTTAAAAAACAATCCTTGCAGTAGGGCTACTCTCATACTGCAAGAGTCAAAGCAGAATTCTGGGCAAAACTGTACTTAACACTTGCAGTGGGGCTACCCCAGCAATGCAAAGGTTAACTGTTTTTTTTTTCTAGATGCTAAAATAAAAAAAGGTATAAGTTGTGCAATATATATATAAATGATAAATGTGCAATGCAGGAAGATCAAGGCTGGTGTCAGGGGTTGTACATAGCTTCCTAGAAACAACAGACAACCCAGACACTCAGAGTGGGGAAGGAAAGGATAGATGATGCTGGACGTACTCCAGCCAGGAAATGAGGTGGGCTCTATGTGACTTGCTGCAGCTTCTAATGTGAGAAGCTCACAGTGTGCAGTGAAATCAGAGCAAGTGAATTCTGTATAGAAGAGGAGCCGGTACAACTGAGCAAGACTGAGGGTAAGTCCGGAGTTCAGCTTTAAGGCAGCATGTATATTCTATCTTTTATGTACAGCAAACCTATATGACAATGAGCTCAAGTCACAATCATAATGCACGCAGCGTTTTCATTACTGTGAATGAGATGCTGAAAGTACATTACAAAAATAATGGCGAGCTCTTCACGGACATGAATTGTGTAATTGGGAGGAGCAGAGAAAGCAGCAATTCCGGAGAAATGTCGGCTTCATCGGGTACATAACCATTTCAAGCAAAAATATCACATTTCATACTCTGGTCAGCAAACTGAAATGTCTTCATGGCACAATGACTGAGATAAAACTCATCCAGCTTAGAACATTGGCACCTGTCATCATCCCGGATGTGTTTGGAAACCATTGATGACGGACTGCAGGTCTTTCACATCTCCTGAACATGTTGTATTTGGAAAATATCATCACATTGCATATTTGTTCAGGAAACTGCGTGTACATTAATTCCGTCTGATTTAACCAGCTGTTGTAAGAATGAAGAAAAAGAAAAAATCAAATGTTGTTAGTGTAATTTCTCTTAAAAAAAACACATTTTGGCCACTGGATGGTGCTGAGGATCATAGGAAAGAAATACATTAATAATGAGATACAATTCAAGAGAACGCTGCAGAGAATGAACATATAAATGTAACCATTGTTATGCCATTAGTATTATGGTTACATTCAGGGCGTAACTGGAAATCACTGGGCCCCATAGCAACATTTTGTATGGGGCCCTGTGATTTCTAGTTATGCCCCTTGCAGAGCCCACCTGAGATCCCAAACAGCCCACCTGAGAGTGACCCTGCAGAGCCCACCATAGATTCCCTATGGTGGGCTCTGCAGGGTGTCAGGTGGGCTGGTCATACCTGTCAGCCCAGATCCGCTGTCAGCCTTCTCCACAATCGCTGACGGGCCCCACCTCCTCCTCCACTGCCGACGCCAGGCCCCGCCTCCTCCACTGCCGACGCCAGGCCCAGCGTCCTCCGCAGCTGCTGGCTGTCACTGACTCAGCAGCGGCTCTGAGGAGGAACGCACCGCTGCACAGGTTATTGACAGGTTGTCAGTGATCAGGACAGCGGCGCGTTCCTCCTCACAGCCGCCAGTGACAGCCAGCAGCCTGGGACGCCATAGCGACCCACGCGGCATTAGGGGGACCCCTTTGTTCTTTGTCCTGGCCGGACCCCTCTGTGCCCTAGACCCATAGCGGCTGCCTGGGTTGTCTCTTAAACTGCTCCAGCAGTCTATTAAACTGTAACATTGTATCTTGTTACTAACATGTATTTATGTCCTGTGATCCTCAGCACCATCTAGCGGACATAATGTTGTATTTTCCCCATTCGCTCTGCTCTTTATAAAGAACATTCCACCAGAAGAGCAAATACAAGAACATTTGTTTTTGCACCATTCTCACAAACAGCTGCTTTATATGCAGTTTCAATGGACAAATAAGCTATCCAATTTTTTTTTGTGGTTAAATAGACCCCCTAATGTCTATAGGAATCAATGGCAACACATACACAGGCAACGTACAACACTTTATAATAGAATTACATGTTCTACACCTCTACCCTTAGGAACACATGTGTTGTTTATATGCACACAGCACTGTGTTCTATATGTGTGTTGTTTTTTTGGTTTCATGTAATATCACATTATATCCACTAGATGGAGCTAAAGGAGCATATAAATAATCATTTATTTCCTATGCACATCAGCACCCTCCAGAGGCCATAATGCTATATTACATGAGAACAATATTCAATACACACATTCAATACATACAAAAAAAAAGGAAAGAACAACTGTTTTGGCATATATCCACACAGAATGAATTCTCACAGATATCACCCAGCAAATAGTTTATATATATATTTTTTTATATATATATAAATAGACCCCTATGTTGTTTTTAAAGCAAACGTGCTTAGCTTACACAGGGCTACGGGCTTCCTGTATGGGCAATGACTCCTATAAATCACATAGGACTTTCCTTTTCCTCTCAGACAATGAATGAAGTGACAAAAGGAAGAAAGTATGTGCTTCTGTTGAGGTCTGCATTAAAGTGAACCTGTTGCTGTGGGCAAAGCACATATTCATTTAAATGTTACAGTAAACCATGTATAAATCTCAGAGGCAAAATGGGCCCTTAAATGTTCTACATTCCAGTCCAGGGTCATATAGAAAGTCCAGAGCAGACGAAAGATGAAGCTGCCCATGGTAACCAATCATACAGCCTTCCACTATCATAATGCTGTGTACAATAAACAAAGGTTTGATTGATTGGTATTGGCAAAAATTATATTTTCCAATATCGACAGTCGACTACTTGACAATGAATAAACTGGTCATATAGTATGTGAAAAGAATAAATGTCATGTTACTTTACCCAGCAGACTGATCCCCAGACGGGACAGGCCCTGCTTTAGGCCTTCTCCCAGGTTATCCGGCAGCTGCCTCCTCCATTCCTCCTGCCTGTTGTAATGCTCCTCATCCAGGGACAGGCGGTCCATGTTCCGAGCCAAGCTGGTGGCCAAGTTAGTCAGAGAGGTGAGTGTACCTAGATGTAAGAGAGCTCCAGTCACATAACAGGCTTGGCATGTGAGATATAATAAACAACAGGATGTCTTAATGTGCATCTGATAACATTCATTACAAATAAATACATAAAATGTTCAGTACAATGCAAGATAATCAGAAGCATTTTATCCTGAGCAAAGCAGGCACACATGTCATTGCTGTGATATCTAACGTGCACCTGAACATTACAATATCGCAAGCCTTAGACCAGAGGTGGGCAACTCTGGCCCCCCAGATGTTGAGGAACTACAAGTCCCATCAGGCATTACACAACTGCCAGTTACAGGCATAACTCCCAGATGGATTTGATGAATAAACCTTTACTACATTTTTCTGGAGGAAGTACAATATTTGCTGACCGTCCTCATATTTTACCGCAGTGCAGAATGGAGACTCTGGCAGCAGAGAAGTCATTTTTGCTTCAGACACATTAAACATTTGTGACAATATCCTGACAATACCAACCGTCACTTCCATCATTTCACCATTCCATGTCAGTGTTTCTGTATATTGCTGTAGGTCAGGCTGGGACCGTTACACATTCATGGTGAAGCAGCCTGGGATAAGATTTCTAACAGCTTGAAGGAATACTGAAATATCTGCAATGTTTTCACATTTATCACGTGCAGAAGGATCTACAGGCAGCATTACGTTACTCCTGAGGGGGGTGTCAGCCTGCACATTGCTTTTGGAAGACTCCCATAGAAGATGGATATAAAATGTTTATTAAAGAATAGACTGTGGCTGTGTGTAACATACACCCGGAGAGGCTTGGATTATAAGGACACAATGTTACTGTACTGGAATGTGGGGGATTCTCCCGATATATGAGAACACATAAATAATAATAATAGTAGAGACGTGATTTATTTAATATTTCTATTACCTACACACTCAAGGAAATAAAATCTCAGCTCTGGTACGTTCCAGTAATAATTTAGCATGACGGAATGGATTAGGAGTGTCAGACAAGAGGACATGTTCTCTATGTGATTATATATACCCGGAGTCCCAGATACATGAAGGCAGGCAAGCAGGGAATTTAAAGGGACTGGTCAGGTCAGAAAGATGAATGTTAACTTCTTTGGAACACACCATGTCCAGTTTGTCCATAAGCCTTGTTGCTTCCATATGCAGCGACAAGAGGCTCAGGAGCCATTATTAAAAGTCACCTCTAGGGATACTAAACTTAAAGGGGTCTATTTATAAACAATTCACAGAGCCATTCACCCTACATATGTTTCTGAACATTCACTCTGTACAAATAGACACAAAAATAAACGTTCTTAGATATATTTTCTTTTCAGGTGTTGTGTTTATTTACAATTTGTCTGTTTTTTTTTTTTTTGGTGAATGAATAGGGGTAACAACTACCCCTTACTCATTCACGAGGAAGGTGGTGGCATCTGGGTGCCCCCTTTGTGAAAGGGGGCACCCAGATTCAGATAAGCCCCCCTGCCCGCAGATCCCAACAACTACCGGACCAGGGTTGTGGGGAAGCAGCGCTTGTCCTCATTGACATGGGGACAAGGTGCTCTTCCAGGGGGTCCCCCCTTGGAAAAGCACCCTCCCCATGTCAAGGGCATGTGGCCTGGTATGGTGTGGGGGGTGTGCACACTTGTCGTGTCCGCCCCCCCCTATTCCTGCTCTGCCAGGCTGCTGCCCAGATCAAGGGTCTGGAAAGGGATTTTAGAGGGACCCCACTCTTTTTTTTCGGCGTTGGGGTCCCCTCTAAAATTCAAAGCAGATTGATTTTTTTTTAAATTGTTTCTGTGCACTGTCAAAAGTTAAAAAGGAAAATTACACTTTTGTTTTCTAACGTCGCTTTGCTGCAACAAAGATTTGTTTGTAATTATCGAACGCATCCGAAATTTTGAATTTATACCAATTCGAATACAGAAACGAATTGACTTTCGGACCACAAAACGGAAAAACCATAAATCCGAAACGGGCCGAACCAAATTTTTTGCTGGCGCACGTGTCTAATATACATATATTTGTTTTACAAGTGACCTTTTGAGTAAAAATAACCCTGCCAAAACTACAATTTGACTTTTGTGAAAGGAAGGTTTAAATTAGACACATTCATCCCAATTAAACAAAAAAAAAAACCATACAAACGCTGCTTCAACGTGATCCTGGTGACTCAGGAAAAAAACAGCAGCACTCCAGGTCCACGTTCATAGACATACAGGTTATACCAGATATATCAACCAGCATTAAAGTTAAACAAGCATATCCTAAGACTCATAAAGGTAGGACATCTGATTAGTACCGGGCTTGTCAGATGTAATATTACAATAACTCCTATATACCTTTGGAAATGTGCTTGACAAAGGATGTGGTTCCCCTCGAAACTCCACTCACAAAAGCTCCAGGTCCACGTGTGAGGCCTTCATAGGGGAGGCGGAAGAAGTCAGCTATGCCATTCCCAATACTTCTCACCAGGCTGGCTGGGCTTCCTAAAATTTCCAGAGATCCGACGACCCAACCTAAAAAGACAGAAAAACATTATTACTCCTGTAAACAGAGCTTGTGTGACTGCTAGGCAAGTAACATCTGCATTGCCCCTTGTATTAAGCCGTGTTGTAGAATTTTCGGCTTTACAGCTGACAACATTAAAACACAACATTTCATTAGAGCAGACATCTGATGTGTACATAAGAACCAATTATGGCAGATTTAGCTCTCACACCAAAAATCCAAAAATGTATTTGCCAATTACATGTATTTGTATAGAACTTTGAAGAATCGCAAACTTTACTGTAAGTAATGTATTATAAGCTGAATAATTTAAAGGGGTATTCCACATTATGTTAGTACCTCACTGGTGGGTTGAATCTAAAGCTGGTCATACACCTGTAGAGAACTGGAATTTTGTTGGAAAATATCAATTTTCGGAATGTTTATTTGATTTTTTAATAGTTAATGGGGTCAAATCGACAAATGATTTCAATGGTAGCAATGAAAAAATATCAAAGGAGCAGGATGGAAGATTTTTTCCACAAGAAACAAAAAAACAGTGAATGTGCTTTTCGTTCAGGGAACTCCATTCATTCCAAAATTGAACGTTAAAATGAAACGAAATCTCAAACAACATTCTTTCGTCTCTGATGGTGTTATTGAATGTTCGGAGGAAAATTTTCATATGTATGTTCCTACAAAATGCCACCATTGTATGGCCAGCTTAGCTCATCTTGTGGGGGTTCTTTTCCCACAGTCAACATGGAACACTTTGGCTGCATTCTCTCTAATGTACTATAATGGGCTCCTACAATAAACACCACAAAGAGCAGAATGCTATGTGAGAAGTGTCATACGCTATAGCAGGGGTTGGCAACTTCGGCACTCCAGCTGTTGTAGAACAGCTAGAGTGTGGAACATGCATGAGACACTGCAAGACTCTAACAGCCACAGGCATGATTCACAGAAGGCAGATACAGGAAGGGATTTGTAGTCTCAGCACAGCTGGAATGCCAAGGTTGCCTACTCCTGCTCTATATCAACCAATTACATTTCCTTTGACCAAAGTGAGACCAATGCAAGTGGATGTCATTGGGTGCTGTGGGCACTGCACACTGCATTCAGTTCTTTGGTGCTGTAAATTAAAAATTCAACAATCTGTGCCATCTTTGTAACAGCCACAGCAGGTGGGGGCGGAGCTAGGAATCTTACTACTGGGTCAACTCAGAACTAAAATAACTAAGAAGAGCCTGGAAAGAACTTTAATACATCATCAGCGATCATATGTATCATCACTCATAAGGTCTGCAAAAATCCCATAAGCCGTGTAGGCAATATCTGCCAGTAGGATGATATATACATTGCCAGGCCAAAAAAATAAAAGTCACACACTCAAAAATTTCATTGGACCGCCTTTAGCTTTGATTACGGCAAACATTCGCCATGGCATCGTTTCAATAAGTTTATGCAATGTCAGAACATTTATTTCCATTCAGAGTTGCATTAATTTTTCACCAAGATCTTGTAGTGATGATGGGAGAGTCGGACCACTGTGTAAAGTCTTCTCCAGCCACCCCAAAGATTCTCATTGGGGTTAAGGTCTGGACTCTGTGGTGGCCAATCCATGTGCGACAATGAGGTCTCATGCTCCCTGAACCACTCTTTCACAATTTGAGCCCGATGAATCCTGGCATTGTCATCCTGGAATATGTCCAATGTGCCATCAGGGAAGAAAAAATCCATTGAAGGAAAAACCTGGTCATTCAGTATATTCAGGTTGGCAGTTGATCTCATTCTTTGGGGACATAACGTTGCTGAACCTAGACCTGACCAACTGAAGCCACCCCAGATCATAACACTTTTGGCCAGTGTATATTGTAGGAAAGAGAATGTCATATATTTTCTAACCTCTAGTTGGTGAAACCAGATTGTGCCCAGAAGTATCCCAAGCTGATGAGCGGTTCTATCATTTTTTTTCTACTTACTTTTAAAAACCTCATTAAAATCAGAGCAGAGAATGTCCTGATTTGACACTCACCACAAGACAGCATTTTGCTTGGATGCGTCTATTTATTTCAACACTGACTCTGACCTCATGTTTTTATTATCCCCTGTTCTGCCCCTAAACTGGTTGACAGCTCATCACTGTGTGTCAGAGATGAGGAATGTGAGACGGCAGCATCCAAAATCTACTCTATGACAAGCACCAGACCACTGTACAGGGAAACTGGATGCACTACCAAGGTCAATTGTACGTGGTGAAATGAACTTACTGCTTCACTTTCGGGAATCAAATCATCAGATTGTTTACATCAACTGTTTACATGACAACTGGCCAAAATGATGTTTCTTCCAGAGATTGACACGTTCTCTCTTCTGCACTATGATTATATTTTGGCATGATGAAGTCCGTTATCTTTATGATCCAAAAACCCCGGTCTATGCCGCCATGTCAGCTGTTGCCTAACTACGGCTTGCAAAACATCCATGCTAAACCCCCATCAAAGTGACTCGGTGCTGGACGCTTTTGCAAACTGTAAGCTACACACAGTTGGTCTCATGTAAAACCTTGTGGAGAGAAGAACTGGAAGTGCAGCCTGCAGGAATTACGTTAGATGGAGTTTTCCAGCTAGTTGGCCAGGCTGTGGCAAGAATAACAGACTGTCTTCATTTACATTTGTGCTACATGGCGATAGGTCACTGAGGTTAAACTGATCCTTGTAATTAATTTAAAAACACATATCCTTTTATTCTGTCCTAATCCTTTTTCTGTTGCAAGCAAGAAAAGTGCAGCACTAAGTGGCCTATTTAAAACTGCACTCCAGGTACACAGTCGAAATACACACAAGAGAGCCATTTTACCTGTCAAAACAGCATGTGTCTGTACATCCATTCATGAGAGTTACACAGCCCCATCATATAACACAGCCAGGCAGAAGACACCACTAGAGATAAGGAATACTATGGTGTCCTCTCTCCACTCCCAGCATGTTGACTGGACAGAGAGGGAGCATCAGCAGACTGATTAGATCAACCCTCGGCTCAGTCTGCTCTCTTCTATCAACCTGTTCCTTGTCGACACATTTTCATTTTTTGCTGATTGTCTCCCAGTGTACGTGCTGCTATGTAAGGGATTCCAAGAGGCTGATACCAAGTCAAATTCGGGTACTTGCACTAGTGCAATAAAATACATGACATTCAATAATTTATTAATGAATACATAGCTGCATTCATTTGTTTCTTTCGCCTGGCTGTCCATCTTCATTAAGATAAAGGGCAGTGACGTTAGTGGGCCTCTACTGCACCTTTAAATGTTGATTTCTACACTGCCTCAACCCCAATTCTCCTAAAGAGTGGCTAAAGTATTTAGGAACTTCTGAGACAATGGTATTTGGATGGAGGACAAGATTTCAATCACTACCTGCCAATAACCCTCATATTGCAGCCATCAGTTACACTATATAGCAAGGTAAAGCCTTCAAAACATCTTTATAGTGAGCCTGTGCTTTGTCCACGCAGGGAAAAGCAACAGGTCCATTTAACTGCTGCCCTTCCCAGCTACACACATACTTATTTTCCTTTTGCTTCTCCGCCGCTCTGTTTTGCCGCTGGAAACAATGAGAAATACCACAGGTACGTTCAAGTAGGGGCAGCATGTGGCACACTTCCCTTCCTCCCGCATGACAGAGATGGTGCTTAGAGGTTGGTCGCTCGGGCACTCAGCGCAGTCACATTATCGCATGTTAGGAGATTTTTCATATGAAAGTTCATACAACAATCTACCAGTGTATGGCCAGCTTCATTTTAGGCTTTCTCTCTTCACTCCGAGAGGCCAAACAGAGCGTCAGGGGAGACAAATGAAAGGAATTTGTAGTCGTGGAGTGTGGCCATTAATATATAGTAGATATAAGCCCTACCTGACCAAGTCTTAAAATTTAATGCACAGACTGTGATAACTGTTTTCTGATTCGGTTTCCCTCTTCTGGCCACCTCTAGACATTTGTGGTTAAATTCAGTAAATGAAGTGTGTGTAGGGGATGTAGTTTAGGAAACATAAAACCATCTCTCCTATCTCGTTTTTTTTGGTCTGCACAGTAAAAAAACAAAAATGCTGTGAATATAAAGCAAACTGCATCTAGCAGCACATTGTAGCATTAGTTTGTACTAACGTAATTGCATGGTTCAAGGAGCTGGGCTTGTAAAACGAGTGTCATTATTCAAGTGTGCCTATGGCAGGGCCATTTCCAGGTTATTAAAAGACCTGGGGCACCTAGACTAACGGGTTTATAGCATACAATGATAAAAAAAAAAACAAGGATGAAGTTGTCTCTCTTTCCAAAAAATATAAATAAAAATTGAATTAATTTAAGAGATGGTAGATAAAGTCCAAAAAGCATCATGTGAATATAATATATATGCTGATGCCTTAAGAGTTCCCTTTACTGGGACTAAGGGGCCAAGCCCAACCCCTGAAAAACAACTCCACACCATAATGCCCCTTTCACCAAACTTTACACTTGGCACAATGCAGTTAGGCAAGTACCGTTCTCCTGGCAAACGCCAAAACTAGACACGTTGATCGGATTGCCAGACAGAGAAGCGTGATTCATCACTCCAGAGAACACGTCTCCACTTCTCTAGTCCGCTGGCGGCGTGCTTTATACCACTGCACCCAACGCTTTGCATTGCACTTGGTGATGTAAGGCATGGATGCAGCTGCTCGGCTATGGAAACCCATTCCATGAAGCTCTCTACGCACTGTTGTTGTGTCAATCTGAAGCACACACGAAGTTTGGAGGTCTGTAGCTATTGACTCTGCAGACAGTTGGCGACTTCTGCGCACTGCTCGCTTCAGCATGTACTGACCCCGCCCTGTCATTTTACGTGGCCTACCACTCAGTGTCGTCACAAGGGGGGTGCGGCCCACACCCGGGTGACACCATTGGAGGGGTGACATGGACCGAACACCCGACAGTATCAGGAGAGAGGAGGGGACCCGGCGGCATACCTTATCCCGTCGGGTGGTTGT